TCACCAGCATACCATACTTGTGTACCAACCTTCGAGCGTTGTGCGCCAACATCCTCAATTTGAACATCCCCTATTGAGTAGATGGTAGTGGGGCAACAAAAATGTACCTATGGATTGAACAAAGGGATCCCCACGCGTTAAGACGTCCTCATGTTGCCACTGGTATTCCTCTTCATGGCTCTTGCAGCGTGCAACGCAATGCTCATGACTCAAAAAGACTTGGAACCAATGAGAAGGAACACGTTTGAGAACCTTACAACATTGAGGGAGCCAGTAGCAAGCTAAAGCCACTACATACATTCTTGGTGAAAACCGCGATCACAATCTTGTTTGCATGCCTCATAGCATCCCAAGTTCTCTCAAGATTGGCCCCCAACAAAATATGGGAGAGTTTGCATGACTTCGCAAATCACAACGCCCTTCTCCACATGTGCTTTGGGCTGCATGCTGGGTGTTGCCCATGATAGCGCGCAGAATGCAGCTTGCAAATAAGAGGTCGAGCTCCAAGCAACGGCAGCCGCACTGTGGCACCGGCATCACTCTGCCTATGCATTGAGTAAAACAGCGCCTCATCCATCAGGTGTGCCATGGCTATGCGCTTATGTGCGGCCAACTCCATCCCTAGCAAAAAATGCAAACCGACCCCATACCGTTCATACGAGAATGGCACTGATGGGCACGCCCGTTCCTGGGGCTGTTCTCCCTGAAATGAGCGGCTGTAACGCAGTCAAAAGTCTGGGCCATGATTCCCGGGAACACCTCCGACTTCGCCAGAAGTTGCATTCAACCCGGAACAGAATGGCGCTCAGCACGCAAAAAGGAAACAGACCGGCGGGTGTACAATGAAAAACCTACCGACTCCGCTGTGAGAACTGGCAGAAGGCAGTTCCCACCTGGCGGAAGGCGAAGCAAGAAACCACGCAAGCCAAATCATGGCCCAATTCTCAAAACACGAACGCTAACAGTTGCTGCGGTGCATCTCGGCAAAATAGAGATTGCCTCAAGCGCGAACTTACTCCTCAGTGAGCAAGTGTTCCCTCAAAGCACGGGAACCATTTTTGGCCCCCAGTTGACTTGACCCCTTCTGATCAGCCCTGAGCCGGCTTCTGGAACCCCCTGCCTCAGCTGGCGCCTCTCGATGCCTGCAGGTAGTCTGCTGAATCCTGAGGGCGCCCAGTTAAAGCCCCAGCCGCTTCCGCGGTCAACTTCCGAGTGGTGATTGCCGACCATCCTGCGATTTGGGGTGCCAGCCTAGATGGCATCAGACTTGTCAACCCCTCGCCAAGGAATACAACAGTTCTTTTTTGAAATGGAGAGCTTTCACTTCCCCAGCGCTCATTTGTCAGCTTCCGTAGCTGAGACAACGAACAGCGGTGCGTTCACAACTGTTGTCGGGCAGCCCGCTCTTCAGGGCCCTTGCATTCAAGGAAACCAACCCAAGCAACGCAAACCAAGACAATCAATATGAAACAAAGCAACACCAGCCAATCAAAATGAAGCTATGTAAGCACAAGCTTCAACATGTTGGGCCCCTTGGATGGTTTTTGGATGGTTTGCTTGGGCCAGCTCTGGCAAACCTGATTGACCTGAAACAAACAACAAACCAGCCGGCCAACCAACCAAGAACGCAAGCGATAAACCAACTCGCCAAAACCAAAGAAAAACAGACAGACAGACAGACAGACAGACGGACAGAAAGACAAACAGACAGACAGCACACCAGCCAGCCAGCCAGGTGGACAGGTAGAGAGGCAGGCCAGGCAGACAGAAAGACGGACAGACAAACAGACAAATAAACAAGCAAGCAGGCAAGCAAGCAAGCAAGCAAGCCAGCAAGCCAGCAAGCCAGCAAGCCAGCACGCAAGGCCAAGGCCAAGCAAGGCCAAGCCAAGGCCAAGCCAAGGCCAAGCAAGGCCAAGGCCAAGCAAGGCCAAGCAAGGCCCAAGCAAAGCAAGGCCAAGCAAGGCCAAGCAAGCCCAAGCAAGCCCCAGCAACCCCAAGCAAGGCCAAGCAAGGCCAAGGCCAACCAAGCCCAAGCAAGGCCAGGCAACCCCAAGCAAGGCCAGGCCAAGCAAGGCCAAGCCAAGCAAGGCCAAGCAAAGCCAAGCAAGCCCAAGCAAGTCCCAGCAACCCCACCCCCAGCAAGCCAGCAAGCAAGCAAGCACGCACGCACGCAAGCAAACAAGCAAGCAAGCAAGCAAAGCAAAGCAAAGCAAAGCAAAGCAAACCAAAGCAAAGCAAAGCAAAGCAAAGCAAGCCCAAGCACGCGCAAGCAAGGCCAAGTAACCCCACGCAAGGCCAAGGCCAAGCAAGGCCAAGCAAGGTCAAGCAAGGCCAAGCAAGCCCCAGCAAGCCCCAGCAAGCCCCAGCAACCCCCAGCAACCCCAAGCAGCCCCACCCCAAGCAACGCCAAGCAAGGCCAAGTAACCCCACGCAAGGCGAAGGCCAAGCAAGGCAAAGCAAGGCAAAACAAGAGCAAGCAAAGCCAAAGCTAAGCAAAAGCCAAGAAAAAGCCAGCAAAAGCCAGCCGAGCAAAAGTAATTAAGCAATGGCAAGCAAAGCCGAGCAAAAGCAGGCAAAAGCAAGTCAAGGCAAGCAAAACCTACCAATGGCAAGTCAAGGCAGCCAAAAGCAAGCAATGGCACGCAAAGGCAAGCAAATGCAAATAACGGCAAACAAAGGCAAACAAAAGCAAGCAACTGAAAAAGCAAGAGCAAAAGCAAAATAGCAAGCAAGCAAGCAAGCAAGCAAGCAAGCAAGCAAGCAAGCAAGCAAGCAAGCAAGCAAGCAAGCAAGCAAGCAAGCAAGCAAGCAAGCAAGCAAGCAAGCAAGCAAGCAAGCAAGCAAGCAAGCAAGCGAGCAAAAGCAGCACCCTTTGGAAAAACTGCCTGGTGGGTCTCCAGATGCCTCCAAAACGTTGATGTGGGCTGCCACGGTTGAGGTGTCATAAATAGAGAACCCGAGAGTGGAAGGGTAACAACAGTGAAAGAGGGCTCCCTGATTCAAGGAAACGCATACCGGAGAGATTCACAGACCTCGAGTGCCTTCTGACATTGGAATTCCAAGAGTAAGACTCCTGCTCCGTGCCCGAGAGTTGCGGATATTGACTCAACTAAATTAATCCGCCGACGCCAGTCGAGCGTGTAGATGGCAGTCCGCAACTTGGTCTTCCTTCGGATCTCTTAGCTGCTATGATTTTGTCTCTTTTTTGCAGATACTGATGGTGTTTTGCTGTTTCAAGCGATGATACGTTGAGGAACTGTTTGGGTTTGCAAAAATGAGTGTTTTTTTGGCAATTCCCCACCTGTGCGGAGCAGTTACTGCGAAACATCCCCTGCATTATCGTGCTTTTGAAAGTCTATTTTTAGGGTATTTGAAGGGGGTTGCTAGCAATTATCTGCTTTTGATGGTTAATTTTTGGAAATATCAACAAATCCTGGCTTTTTGGACTTTATTGTGGCCAGCCAGCTGCATTCCCAGCATTCCTGACATCTCTGACATTTTCTGTGCTATGTCAATTGCGTGTCTGAAAGTCTTGAAATGTTAAATGCGAAGATTGGGTCTGTTCCTGTACGTTGTACAGTATGGTTCCATCCCTTGCATTTCCAGCATCCCCAGCATCTGGGACATGTTTCCTGACTGAAACATAGCAAACTGCCACGAAGGCCTTGTTGTGCCACTTTCAGACTTCCACGAAAATAGAAAAGGTCTTAAAATCCCTTGCACCCCACTGGCGTCGGCGGATCGCGTAGCGATTTCAATGAACACTCCCTGAACCAGTCGCAGTCTGCATTTTTGAGGGTGCGTGTTTTAGATTCCCCCCCCCATTTGACACAAACACATTGGTTCGTCTTCAAAGGGAAAATGCCTTCCCCTTCTCCTCTGGGATGGCTCACTGGGCCACCGTGCCCCCAGCTCTTGCTTCTGGCGCCTTGGAAAGCCCAAAACAAGCTACTCAAGCGCATGTTTTGGTCTCAAGCTTCTTGGGGAAAACGCGGGATGCTAGGCTTCAAGGTAGCTGTGACTCCGGCCTGAGAGCCCAGCCTTGCGACATGGGGATACCTCTCGTGGAACCACTCAATCTCCGCCTGCGTGCCCACGTTGGCGAGCCAAGATGCGATGTCCTGCCGAAATGCGACAGAGGTGCCCCCAAGTCACGCCGTCATCATCATCATCACCATCACCATCATCATCATCATCATCATCATCATCATCATCATCACAATCATCATCATCATCATCATCATCATCATCATCATCATCATCATCATCATCATCATCATCATCATCATCATCGCCGTCGTCGTCGTCATCATCATCATCATCATCAACAAGAACAACAACATCGTCGTTGTCACCATCATCATCATCATCATCATCATCATCATCATCATCATCATCCTCATCATCGTCGTCATCATCATCATCATCAACAACAACATCATCATCACCATGATCGTCGTTGTCACCATCACCATCATCACCATCTCCATCATCATCATCATCATCATCATCATCGTCGTCGTCGTCGTCGTCGTCATTGTCATCATCATCATCATCCTCATCATCATCATCGTCTCATCATCATCATCGTCGTCATCATCATCATCGTCGTCATCATCTGCATCAACAACAACAACATCATCACCATCATCGTTGTTGTCACCATCACCATCATCATCATCATCATCGTCGTCATCATCGTCGTCATCATTGTCATTGTCATCATCGTCATCATAATTCAGGTGTCAATACTGCAAACGTCAACTCCTCAAAGACAAGGAAGCGTCATGCCTAATATACAATATAAACCTTCCGAAATGCCTGCCATTCGCGAAATTATGCGTTCGACATATTTTTTGAATCATCCAACATCTCCGGTATTCTGCACACCTTCAAACTGAGAATCTGATTAAGAATCTTAGTGCATCCTCTCATACCTGGCTCAGTTGGCAAGAAACGTGAACCAAAGTGCCCTATTGGGATGGTTTGTCTGCCCTTCACGCGGTAACACGGTGGAGCCCTCCCAACATGGCGACAATGCCAGCATCCTCGATGTGCTCCTCCGGATCCTCGCAGCGCATGGAATTGTTTTTTCGACTTGGGCTTCGTTCGTCCCTACATGCGTCAAAATAGGGGTAACCCCAAGAATTGCGGTTGTCCTTTTGGCCCTAATCAGCAAGCTGAAAAGGGTGTACACTCGAGAAGAAGAAAATGCGCACATTGCAACACGACATCCCTGGCCCCACTCTCCTAGTCGCAAGTTGACCGACGTAGGGTGGAAATCGTCTTTTGAGGGGAAGCCACACAGGGAACAAAAGCAAGACCGCTATCAAAGCAAGTCCGCAGTCGATTATTTGTTGTCAAGTCTACGTAGTACCAAGTCGAGTTGCTCATCTGGCGCTACTTCTGCGAAGTGCGCTGTGCCCTTGGCTTTGCGATGGAGAGGAAACAGCAAAAACAAGCAATTCCTTAAAGTGTTCAACGCCCAAAAGCCGATTTATCTATGATACGCCAGTGTGGCATTCGTTGACGGCCTGAAAAGTATCAACTGTCACGTCAAGCTGACAAGAAATGCTGCCCCATCGATGCCCACCCCCAAGCCCAACGCGTATTGACATGTTCCAATGGTTTCCAGCCCATGCTGAAACGCACCCAAGTCCGAACGAACAGTCAACCGCGCTAACCGCAGGCCACTGTTGCTTGATTGTTTTTCCTTGGCCTTTGGGCTCCGAAGGACACTCCGAAAGGCCGCTTAAAAATTCCACAGAATGCCAAGGACGCTGGGTCCCATCCAACCAACCAGTCAACTCCAACCAACCAGTCAACTCCAACCAACCATCCCGTACCCAGCCCATGCGTGCCTCCCGGAGCTTGGGGATGGATCGGTCCAACAGGCGCACCAAGAAGCGCTGCGCGACGCCACTGAAGACCCGGACTCCCCGGTAGTCCTCGGAACGAAGGTGTCTCTAAATCACGGACCCCTCCAGAGGTGGGTGGCTGGTTGGTTGGTTGGCTGGTTGTTTGGTTGGTCGGTCGGTCACTCGCTCGCTCGCTTGCTTGGTTGCCTTTTTTGCTTCCCTTGAAAGCCTTCCAAATCGGGGTCCCCTGGCTTAAAAGGAAGCGAAAACCCCTTTTGGTTGGCAAAGGGACACCGTTAAAGGAAAACCAAACCCAAATGTGGTTGCAGCTGCGGGCGCTTGGCTTGTTTCAAGGGAAACAAAGGTAAACCAACCGTTGTGGGCGAGGAAAGAGAGGTATACCAACCATGTTGGCGAGGGTCCCACCAATTTTTGCAGAGCACCCGAATGAGCTAAGGCAACTTTTAAGTTGGTGTAATGAAACTTTGTTGGACCCGAGGAAAGCTCGGGTAGATCCATAGACCGCTCGCAGGAATGTCACTTTGAGAATGCAAACTCCGTGAGGATGAAACAGCTCTGTAGTATGTATGTATATATGGTCAAGGGTTCGCAAGTCACCCCCCCTCCGCAACCCCCCCATGGTTAAGCCACCCTAGGGTTGGTTTAGAGCATGTTTAGTGTTGGTTTATAATATGTGTTTAGGGTTGGTTTAAGGTTGGTTTATGGTTGGTTTAGAGTGTATTAAGTGTTGGTTTAGGATGTGTGTTTTTCATCCTTGGTGCGGGGGTGGTGTAGGTTAGTTCCGGGGTGGTTTAGAGTGGGTTCCGTGTTGGTTTAAGATATGTGCTTAGGGGTCGGTTTAATCTAAGGTTGGTAAACGGTTGGTTGCAGGCTTGGTTTAGAGTGTGTTCAGAACGTGTCAAGTGTTGGTTTAATATGTGTTTCGAGCTAGTTTAGGGTTGATTTACGGTTAGTTTAGGGTTAGTTTGGGCGCAGGGTTGGGGGGGGAGGGGGAGGAACCCGGAGCCCATATATATATATATATACACTACTATACATGTTGTGCATGCGTGGATGTATGCATGTATCGATGCGCGAACGTATGGATGTATGGAAGAATGTATGTATGTATGCATGTACGTATGTATGTACGTATGTATGTGCATATGTGTTTGTATCAGTGTATATGTGTATGTGTGCATGTGTGTATGTGTGTATGTGCGTACTTGCCAAAGATACATGCAAACATACATACATACATACATACATTACATTACATTACATTACATTACATTACATTACATTACATTACATTACATAACATAACATACATACATACATACATTACATACATTACATACATACATACATACATACATACATACATACATACATACATACATACATACATACATACATTACATACATACATACATACATACATACATACATTACACACATACATACATACATACATACATACATACATACATACATTACATACATACATACATACATACATACATACATACATACATACATACATACATTACATACATACATACATACATACATACATACATACATACATACATACATACATACATACATACATACACACATACATACATTACATAGATACACACATTACATTACATACATACATTACATTACATTACATTACATTACATTACATTACATTACATTACACTACACTACATTAAAATACATTACATACATTCATACATTACATACATACATACATACATACATACATACATACATACATACATACATACATACATACATACATACATACATACATACATACATACATACATACATACATACATACATACATACACATACATACATACATACATACATACATACATACATACATACATACATACATACATACATACATACATTACATACATACATACATACATACATACATACATACATACATACATACATACATACATACATACATACATACATACATACATACATACATACATACATACATACATACATACATACATACATACATACATACATTACATACATACATACATACATACATACATACATACATACATACATACATACATACATACATACATACATACATACATACATACATACATACATACATACATACATACATACATACATACATACATACATACATACATACATACATACATACATACATACATACATACATACATTACATACATACATACATACATACATACATACATACATACATACATACATACATACATACATACATACATACATACATACATACATACATACATACATACATACATACATACATACATACATTACATACATACATACATACATACATTCATTCATACATACATACATACATACATACATACATACATACATACATACATACATACATACATACATACATACATACATACATACATACATACATACATACATACATACATACATACATACATACATACATACATACATACATACATACATACATACATACATACATACATACATACATACATACATACATACATTACATTACATTACATTACACATACATACATACACATTACATACATTACATTACATTACATTACATACATACATACATACATACATACATACATACATACATACATACATACATACATACATACATACATACATACATACATACATACATTACATACATACATACATACATACATACATACATACATACATTACATACATACATACATACATACATACATACATACATACATACATACATACATTACATACATACATACATACATACATACATACATACATACATACATACATACATTCATACATACATACATACATACATACATACATACATACATACATACATACATACATACATACATACATACATACATACATACATACATTACATACATACATACATACATACATACATACATACATACATACATACATACATACATACATACATACATACATACATACATACATACATACATACATACATACATACATACATACATACATACATACATACATACATACATACATACATACATACATACATACATACATACATACATACATACATACATACATTACATACATACATACATACATAGATACATACATACATACATACATACAGACATTACATACATACATACATACATACATACATACATACATACATACATACATAACTACATACATACATACATACATACATTACATACATACATACATACATACATACATACATACATACATACATACATACATACATACATACATACATACATACATACATTACATAATTACATAACATACATACATACATACATACATACATACATACATACATACATACATACATACATACATACATACATACATACATACATACATACATACATACATACATAAATACATTACATACATACATACATACATACATACATACATACATACATACATACATACATACATACATACATACATACATACATTACATTACATTACATTACATTACATTACATTACATTACATTACATTACATTACATTACATTACATACATACATACATACATACATACGTACATACGTACATACATACATACATACATACATTACATACATACATACATACATACATACATACATACATACATACATTACATACATACATACATACATACATACATTACATACATACATACATACATACATACATACATACATACATACATACATACATACATACATACATACATTACTACATTACATACATACATACATACATACATACATACATACATACATACATACATACATACATACATTACATTACATTACATACATACATACATTACATTAGATTAGATTACATTACATTACATTACATTACATTACATTACATTACATTACATTACATTACATACATACATACATACCATGACATACATTACATATACAGTACATTACATTACATTACATTACATTACATTACATACATTAAATGTATGTATGTATTTATGTATGTATGTATGTAATGCATGTATGTATGTATGTAATGTATGTATGTATGTATGTATGTATGTATGTATGTATGTATGTATGTATGTATGTATGTATGTATGTATGTATGTATGTATGTATGTATGTATGTATGTATGTATGTATGTAATGTATGTATGTATGTATGTATGTATGTATGTATGTATGTATGTATGTATGTATGTATGTATGTATGTATGTATGTATGTATGTATGTATGTATGTATGTATGTATGTATGTATGTATGTATGTATGTATGTATGTATGTATGTATGTATGTATGTATGTATGTATGTATGTATGTATGTATGTAATGTAATGTATGTATGTAAGTATGTATGTATGTATGTATGTAATGTAATGTATGTAATGTATGTATGTATGTATGTATGTATGTATGTATGTATGTATGTATGTATGTATGTATGTATGTATGTATGTATGTATGTATGTATGTATGTATTCATGTATGTATGTATGTATGTATGTAATGTATGTATTTATGTAATGTATGTTTGGTATGGTTTAGTATGGTATGGTATGGTATGGTATGTATGTAATGTATGTATGTATGTATGTAATGTATGTATGTCTGTATGTATTACATGCATACATACATACATACATACATTACATACATACATACATACATACCATACCATACCATACCATACCATACCATACCAAACATAAATACATACATTACATTACATACATACATAGATACATACATACATACATACATACATACACACACACACATACATACATACATTACATTACATTACATTACATTACATTACATTACATTACATTACATTACATTACATTACATTACATTACATTACATTACATTACATTACATTACATTACATTACATACACATACATACATACATACATACATACATACATACATACATACATACATACATTACATACATTACATACATACATACATACATACATACATACGTACATTTGTACATACATACATACATACATACATACATACATACATACATACATACATACATACATACATACATACATACATACATACATACATACATACATTACATACATACATACATACATACATACATACATACATACATACATTACATACATACATACATACATACATACATACATACATACATACATACATACATACATACATACATACATACATACATACATACATACATACATACATACATACATACATACATACATACATACATACATACATACATACATACATACATACATACATACATACATACATACATACATACATACATACATACATACATTACATACATACATACATACATACATACATACATACATACATACATACATACATACATACATACATACATACATACATACAGACATACATTACATACATACATACATACATACATACATACATACATACATACATACATACATACATACATACATACATACATACATACATACATACATACATACATACATACATACATACATACATACATACATACATACATACATACATACACATACATTACATACATACATACATACATACATACATACATACATACATACATACATACATACATACATTACATACATACATACATACATACATACATACATACATACATACATACATACATACATACATACATACATACATACATACATACATACATACATACATACATACATACATACATACATACATACATACATACATACATACATACATACATACATACATACATACATACATACATACATATACATACATACATACATACATACATACATACATACATACATACATACATACATACATACATACATACATACATACATACATACATACATACATACATTACATACATACATACATACACACACACACATACATACATACATACATACATACATACATACATACATACATACATACATACATACATTACATACATACATACATACATTTCATACATACATACATACGTATGTACGTACACACATGCCACTACATTAAATTACATTACACTACATTACATTACATTACCTTGCATACATACATACATACATACATACATACAGTGCATTACATTACATTACATTACATTACATTACATTACATTACATTACATTACATACATTAAATGCATACATGCATGCATGCATGCATACATGCATTGCATTGCATTGCATTGCATTGTGTTGCATTGCATTGCATTACATTACATACATACATGCAAACGTATGTACGTACGTGTGTGCGTACGTATGTGTATGTTTGTATATGTGTGTATGTGTGTATGTTTGTATGTGCATATGTAGGTGTATGTATGTATGTACGTATGTACGTATGTACGAATATACGTATGTACGTATGTAGGCATGTACGTATGTACGAATGTAGGTATGTAGGCATGTAGGCATGCAGGTATGTAGGTAAGTAGGTATGTAGGTATGTAAGCATGTAGGCTTGTAGGTATGTTGGTATTTAGGTCTGTAGGATTGTAGGTATGTAGGTTTGTAGGAGGGACCTCCAACACACCCAGCGGGCCTTGCTGACTGACCCTTGTAGCCCCTCACATTGCCTCACATCTTTTGGCGGAATGTTGCAAGTGGCATGCTTGCATTTATTTTACCCGTATCACACCTCTGGATGGTTGATTCGCCCTCGAAAACTGACACCAACCTTGATGCAACCCGCCTTCTTCTGCAACACCTGACGCGCCTTCATCATCTTCAAGGCTCCCCAACAACAACCTCCCCAACTTCCAGCCGGCAAGCATCGGCTCAAGAAGCCCCCCCCCCCTAGCCACAAATCTTTCATGTTATTTTTCAAAATTCAAACGGGCCAAGGAAGGCGGCTACCAAATAGACTCCACCATATGCCCCCAGCCCACTCGCCAAGGATCCGCATGGCCTGGGGTGAGCATGCCTCTCAGCTTCTGGCACATCTCCTGGCGTGTTGTATGGGGTGTGTGTGTGTGTGTGTGTGCCTCACTCGGGGAACTGAAAGGATGTGCTTTCGGGCGCGCGCGATCTTGAGGCAACTGGAATATTTGACTGGTACATGACGAGAAGAGTCTATTTTCAACCAAACTGAAAACAGAAGGAGCAACTCATTGCCCCTTGCAGGCAAAGAGGCGAGCAGGGTGTCCACGCGTGGCGTAAGGATTGTCAGGATGAGCAAGACAGGAACACAGCCGCCCCGGGGGCTCTCTTCACCTTCCGGTGGGGACAATTTCGGAGCTGGATTCGAACGCCCCTGGCTGTGTCCAGAGGAGATTCACAGCTCTGAGTTGAGGGCTGTGTCCTCCACGAAGTCGTCTTGATCCTTTGCATCGGTGGACAACATGATCTTCAGCTGCTCTGAGGTGAGGTTCACGCGCTTCATCACCGGATGCCTCCATATATGCGAGGGGACCAGGGGGAAGGGGCGGGGAACTCGCCGGACAAACACCAGGCGGCAGATGGCGATGGAAGGCATTCTTGTAGCACCTCTCCCAACCGGTGCCGTGTGGTGTTCCCAACCACGTAGTTGTCCTAATTCCTTTTCATCACCAAATATTGATTCGCTTTCAAGCCCTGCCAGTGGGTGTTTCCTCAACCAAATTGGCGTGATTGTCTTTCAGTCTTTCAAGATACAACCACAAACACGCAGGTCCCTCCAAAATTTTGGGGCCGGTCAATCCCCTTCCTAGCCTGTTCACCATCACCATACTAAAGTCCAGCAGGAGCACGCCCGTCAACATGCACACGGCCGCGATCAGCCAGGCCAGGTTCATACGCAGCCGATCCCGGCTGTCCCCCACGATCTGGCCGAAGATCAAGGGGCCGATCACCTTGGGCTCAAGCCGGCCGCCAACAAAGCTCCTTCCGGGTCCTTGCCCCAAGATTTGGACGACTTCAAAAAGGCTTGAAACCTTTTCCCCATTGATGAAATTTGAGGCCGTTTCAGCCTGGGGAGATCTGCTGTGTGCCCGAAGTGGGGCTGGGTTTGGCTCATTGTGGGGATTTGAGTGGACATGCACTGCAAGCCGGCATGAGCTCCATGCCAAAGGCCCTCTTTACTACAACCCCAATTAGTCATAACCATTGCCAAGATCAATTACTAAGACAGCAAAACCCAACCTCCAAGCAACTGAACTGGCCTCACATTAGCACAGAACATGCGACAACACACCGCCTTGGCGCAAATCGTTCGGAACTAAACAAAGAACGTGGCAGCTTCAATCCCTTGCGCTTCCATGCTTGTGAAGCTAGCAAAGCATACATTTAGAGCAGATGCAGAAACCCATGGGGTTACAAACGTGGCATTGCCGACCGGCGACATTCAATCAAACCGCAGCGCTGTGACTTTGCATAGACTACACATATCGCATCGCATCCCATCACATCGCTGTGCAACGCATTGCAAGACATTGCATCATGGCAAACTGGAATGTGACTGGGTCCTCCAGTCGAGAGATTAAAATAAGGGTGCCCCTTTTTCTGTAGTCTAGTGGAGTAGGGGAACCCTCCACCAACAAAGGGCACTACTGGTTGACCTAGGTGATACGAGCATGATGAATTGTGCCCTAGTGCCATGCCTCCATAGCTGAAAGACCGTACAACTGCGACTTAGATGTGTTAATGTCCAAGCATGAGTGCGCAACTGTGGCAACGATTGCGCGCATTGACGAGTAAGCACAAACACCCAAACAAACAAACCAAGGAAGAACGGCATCAGAAAGAGTCAAGGAACGAAGGAAGCAAAGAACCGAACAACCCAGGCATCAGTGTCCTTTGAAATTCAGGAGCAGAGGAATCAAGGAACTGAGACACCACGGGACAGGGGAATCGATGTATCGTCGCATCCATGTGTAAACCTATGGATGCACATCATGAAGGTACTTACATTCAATCTCATGTTTTTGTGTAGATACGTGGATGCTGAAAACCATATTACCTGCCGCGGGCGCCGCATTGATACAGCTCCACGAAAGCTCAAGCGATTTCAAGCCGCTTGGAGGTCCGTAGGGTTCATCCGCTAAGAACGACGGGAATCACAACTGCAAACCTCAACAGCGCGAACCTTTAAACACCACACAAACAAACACACACACACACACACACACAAACAAACAAACAAACAAACAAACAAACAAACAAACAAACAAACAAACAAAGAAACAACGATTCGTTCAAGTCGGTCATTGGAACATGGTGGTTCACACTTCTGTGCCGAATGCACAGCCCAATCCTGATAAAATATCTGAGATGATTTACGACATCTCACCCCGAGCACCGCAGCTCCCAGCCCGACGCCTGGCCAATCTGTCCGCCAAAGATGGGCATGGCACTGGCTTGCGCGGCCTGGCTCCCGCTTCGGGCGGAGAGGGACCACACCTATGGCTGAAGGCCCCTCGGTACAAACTACACCTCTGGACTTGCAAGCCCCCCACAAAAAGCACACAGGGCCCGACAGGCTCGTTTAAAGTTCACGGGAAGCCAGGTCCAGAGTCCAGAGTCCAGTTGCTACCAAAAGACGACCCTGGAAAAAAACATGATGTCAAAACCAGGGTCTCAAAGCAAACATGCCCCCAACCCTCCTTTGCTCAAAAATGGCCTCTCTCAATCCAAAACCTCTCCGCAAAAAAAAAAAAACGAAACGGCCCCAAAACGGGTGCCTTGCTGCTGTGGGCCATGCCCACGTACCGCTGCAGCGTCGGGGTGATCGCTGGCACCGTGAGGCCCAAGCCCACCCCCGTGAACCCGTGGAGCAACAGCATGTGCCAGACCTGACGCACTGGATTTACGTCCGTCGGATTTGGGTCTCTCCTTCTTTTGAGGGGACCCTTTCCGGGGTGGCACATATGTATATATGTGTATATGTATATATGTACCTATGTGTACGTGAAAATGTATATGTATTTAGGTATACATGTATGTATATATATATATGTATATACGTCTGTATGCATGCATGCATGCATGCATGCACGTGTGTATGTACACGGGTGCATATTTCTATATATGTCTACATGTATATGTGTGTGTACACAAGTATGTATATTCATATATGTTTATACATGTATATGTGTACATGTATGCGTGTATATGTATGCATGTATGTGTGTATGTGTATATATGTGTTATATGTAGGTACATATACATATATACACGCATATGTATATATGTAGATGTATATATACATATATGTGTATATGTGTGTATGTGCATAGCACACCACCAAAATGGTTATATCCACGTTCAAGGGCACACCCTCAAGAACATAGTCGCCCACGGCTCCTAGTCGGACAGCTATATATATATACATAGTCAAAATATGCTTACATGCATTTCTTGCGTGCATGTATAATATCTGCATATGCTTGTATGACTGCATTTGTGTTTGTAGAACATCTGTGGAGATTTGTGTATGTGTACATGTACATGTGTACATAGGCATGCATAATATATATATATATATATCTATCTATATGGTACCCCCCCTGGAATACTCAGGTTTTTGGCCAGAAATTGACATTTTGGCTGTAAAATGCATGCAAAACACACGTTCCAGCTTCTAAAATCAGGCTCTGAAAAATGCACTCCTTTTTAGACTTAAATTCTAGCATCGGTACTTAGTGCAATCCAGGATGTGCTAGCACTTGCTAGCACGTCCTGGATCGAAGATTGAAGATTGAAGATTCTCAGACCACTTGTTCTGGCAATCTTCAATCCGTCCTTAGGACTAACTGGTATGTGCTAGCACGTGCTAGCACATCCTGGATTGAAGATTGAAGATTGAAGATTCTCTGACAACTCTCTCTGGGATTCTTCAATCTTCAATCTTCAATCCAAGATGTGCTAGCACGTGCTAGCACATACCAGTTTGTCCTCAGGATGGATTGAAGATTTCCAGAACAAGTGGTCTGAGAATCTTCAATCTTCAATCTTCAATCCAGGATGTGCTAGCACGTGCTAGCACATCCTGGATTACTCTAAATACATATTTGGAGAATTTCAGAAAGAGTTTTCAGAGAATCTTGAATCTCCCATCCAGATCCTGGATTGCCTTAAGTGCGGATTTGAAGAATCCAAAAGGCAGACCGGGAGCGCACGTTGTCAGAATCAAAATGTGGATGTGCACTCGCACTGCCTGCAATTGGCCAGGGCGAAAAATGTTGCTGACACCTTTACATTTTTTTGTGGACTTGAGGGCTGGCCAGGATGGAAGATTCTCAAATAGAAATTCTGGTAGATCATCAATCTTCAATGCATGGCGAAACCTTGATGAGTCTAGAACAAACTGTCAAGTTTTTGGGGGACCAGGATTGAGTACATTCTAAAATATTCTAATCATATGCTTGTGGAATCTTTTATAATCGATGTTCGATCCAGGGCAACACGATCTGAGCAAATGCTGAAAAACACTGCGTTTTACAGCATTTATGCAAAGAATAGGATCTAGGATTGAAAACACGTTCCTGTCATTGGCTTGGCTCAGTTCTTGCTTGGTTCAAACCACATGGAGTTCGAAGGACAATAACCCTTTAAAAATTGAGTTTGATTCCAAATTCATTTGGCCATGACAATAGCTATCTTCTCCAGTTGATTTTTGAAATGCACAAGAAGCTGCAAACGAGTAAACTTGAATTTGGTTTGAACTCGAACGCTTTTTTAACTGGATATTCTTCCCTTACTTGAATTTCAATAGTTGTTAGTGGCGATGATGGAACCAACTTAGACAAGCAACACACACACACACGTGGGATAGTTGCTTTGCAACATATGCTTCAATTAGACTGAACTAGCATGTCAGGAATTATGCACAACACTCGAGAAGAACATGTAAATGCAACTGCGCAAGGACATGAATTAGGAATGAGTTCCTTTTCCCCAAGTTGATGTTTTGCTGAATTTCGCTGCCAAACAAAAATAATAAACACCAAATAGTAGGGCTGCTACAGGCGCGTTGCAGCTGCCAAAGCATACTTTGCGCACTACTCCTGTACTGAACAGTTGTGTTTGTTGAGCTGGAGCTGCCAAATTCCACTTTGCATACTCCAATGTGACTTTAAGTGCACTTCGCGCACGCCAATGTGACGGTCACACAACTCGCAACTCCTAATCAACGTTGAGCTTAACTTCTGCTTGCTTAGAATTTGCATGGAGTTGAGTGTCCAGAGTCTCAAGGCATTTGTTGCCCCCAGTCTGGCCAATAACCTCAGTTCTGTCCAAAAACCTGAGTATTTCAAGGGGGGGTAGCATATATATATATATATATATATATCAGGCACTTGCACGTCGCACATGTATATATGTATGTGTACGAGTATATATCTGTGTATACATATATACATGTGTAGTTCTGTATATGCGTACATGGTATATGTGCATATGGTTAAATGTTTATATGTATAATAGGCATGCATACTATGTTTATATATATATATATATATACATACACGTCAGGCGCTTGCACATCAGAGCCCGTGCGTGGTTGGTGTTCCCCGGTGCTTCCCGCTTGCCTGGGTCGAGGCAAAGCCGTACAAGGCCATGCAGACGCTGGTGATGGTCACGCCGATGCGCATGGTGTTCCGATCTCCGATGTAAGAGGAGACCTCTCGATCCAGCTGAACTCAGGTCCGAGCGGCTGTATCTTGTTGGACACGCTACTCGCATCAGGGTCTCCCAGGAAATGAGGAAACAGAACCCCAAAAGGAGATTTGGAATGTTGGCTTCCATTCACCATAAAGGTCTCCTCCAACAAAAGGCACACAACCATACTCACGGAAACCCTCTCTCTCTCTCTCTTCTTCTTTCTCTCTCCCTCTCTCTCTCGCTGCAGGCTTCCCAGGCTTCTCGTTCTGTTCATGCCCCCAGTCCAACCAGCAATGAGACCGGCATTCAGGCCAAAACAGGAAGAGATGACGAAGAAAGAAAGCAGGAAGGAAGGAAGCAAAGAAGAAGACCCCGCCACGCCCAATTTCGCTGAATATCCGACTCGTTGGGTGAGGTAACGCAACCTATTTAAACTCAAGTCAAGCACCAGCATCAGTCAAATGCCGCAGAGGTACAATCAGGAAGCCCACAGTAGAGCAAACCAGGTTGGTGACCCCGTGGGGGATCATCACCTCGCAAGTCGTTCAGAAGTTCATGTCACATAGGTCGAACCGGCAAAGGTGGAATGCAGTGTGTACGGACATCCAAAAAGCCACTTTCGTGACCGAGCTTGTCACTGTTTCGTTTCCCTATCAAAAGTGGCTCATATCGGTCGTCAAGGTTTGCTGCAACTTTGTGCCCCTCGCATTGCAGGTTGCAGGGAAACGACCATGGGCAAACACGTCACAAGGCGCTGCCATCCAGCCATCCAATATCTCGACATGTTGTTCATTGTAAGGCCCTAAAAACAGGGGTTCCCTGTATTTCCCCTCAAAACGTCACCCCAGCTCACTCGCAACGGCCCCGAAAGCCGGTACTAGGACATAGGCTTGCACCGCAGGCTCCGGCCGCTCAAATATTCACTCCAGCTCAAAGGAGCAACCCAAAATCCAAACTACTTCAAACCTGATTCATGGGCTTGCCCCTTTCACCCAACCCTCCCCGCAAAACAAAACAAAAAGACGAGGCGCCATGGAGGTGGCGGAGGCGATCCGCTCCCGGCTCCTCTCCACGTCGCCGGGCACGAGAAGCCCGAAGGAGTCATACCTCGACGGCTCCGTGGGCAAGATCGGCTGATGAATCCGGTGAGTCGCCTAAATGTCTCTGCCACTCTTGCCACAAAACGTGCTGCCGTGTTGCAGCCGCCCCCCCCCAAAAAAGCATGAACAGAACCAAGAAACCAACAACACCTGGCCAAGGGCAGAAGGTTAAACCTATTGACTCTTGGTTCTGCCAAAATGGTCAAATGGAAAGCTGGAACAAAAGCCTTACTAGTACCACCATAAGACCAGGCAGTAGAACTACCTACAGTGGTCAATGAAGGGCTGCTCAGGTCGTTTGTTGGCTGCATCTGTCTGAAGCCCCTTGAGCTTGCATTTGGAGGGGGTCTCGTTTTTTGGTGGTTGCTGTCGGGGACCTGGGTTTGCTTGGGTTGCGTAGTGGCATATTGAGGGAAACAAAAACAAAACTACGAATGGAGGGCATGCCTTGGATGTCCTGTCATGGCCGCGCGCGGTGTCACCCCTTGCCACCCCTTGCCACCACTTCAATCACTGGCGATCAAAACCTGGGTCTGCTGGAGAAAAAACGTGTCCTTCGAATGGTGTTCAATGCTTTTCACGGGTCTTCAATGAGAGTTCTCCAATGCCAGCGAATCTTCATCAGGTAAACAGAATCACCGATAGGGATGTTGGATTGACACGCAGTGCGCTTGAACTTTGGGATAGGTTGAAAGGACATGTGTGGCTCAGACGAGCAAAAAGGCGAGCTCGGGAGGACGACAGGAAACCAATTTCAAAATAGGCCAGTTGACACAATTTCCGCTTGTTGAGCTGTTTGATTGAGCCACTGTGAGTTTCATGCACAAACGTAGGACGTGAGAACACAAGATCCCTTACCGCTCACTGACTAATCGCGCATGGGTTCAGCTTCAGCAAATAATCCGTGCAATGTTTGTGGTTTTCTTCAACTGTGTGAATTGACTGACTACCTTTGCTACATGCTCGTCCAAGGTCTGAGGAATCCAGTCAAGTGACTCCAGCAGCAGCGGCAGCAGCAAGATCAGGGCTGAGATGCACATGAAAATGCAGATATAGCCACACCACATAAGCCTCAGTTGTCGCGAATACCCACTTCGCACACTGCACAAGGCCAGCAAGAGAAGACACATGCCAGCCTACCAGGGCCTACGAAAGCAATATCAGGAGGGCACGGGCCAAGCGAAATGGCCGGTCGACCCCCTGATGATGCTCGTGCATGCGTTCCCACAACCGTCCACGCCCGAAGTGCACCACGCGCAAATACAACAAACACCACTTGCCCAATGTAGGAATAACATTGGCACCAATCCCAAGCTCCTCATCCTCCCCATCTTCATTCCCTGGGGGCCCAGCCAAAGGATGTGATCCTTCACGGGCGACACGCCCTCATATGGCGGTTCCTGACCAAATGTGATGCCATCTGATTCCCAGCTGCCCAGTGACCCTTCTAGAAAAGGAGAAAGGAGCCGCTTTTGGGGATGGCCAGTTTCAGTGGGAAGCTCACCCCAACAAATCGGAAACAGGGTACCATTGGACATCTGACTCTTTGGCAGCAAGAACCCTGCGAAACTGCCGCTTCTCGTCGCTCCCGGCCCGGGAATATGTGATGAGGGCCGTGTGCGTTCAACTAGATGCAGCCCGGAAGCCAACATGAGCGTGAGAGAAGGCCACACCAGCTTTGCGGGGCATGTGACAGCGTGAACCCGAGGAAATTGGTGATGGTGAGTGGGTGAATTCGGTGAAAGGCCATGTTGCCAGTGCCAGGGTAGGAGTATGGATCCTTCGCCCCTGGAATGAGCACGTACGGGAATCAAACCAACGCTACCCACCTAGATACCAATGATAGCCGGATGCAAAAGACAGCTTCCTTCCTATCAACCCACCCTGTAAATACGCGAGACCTAAAAATTGATCCAAAGCCCAAAAGACCGGGCCAGTTGCTTTCGCAAAAAGATATGGTTCAAGCGCTTCCGCTCATTCCCATTCTTTCCTCCCCCCCCCCCCACAAAAACTCAAAATCTCAAAACGATGTAAAAGCCAAGCCCCAAAGCCTTACAAAGACTCGTTCAAACACCCAGACACCCCCCCCCTCCCATTCTCGTTTTTGAGTGCGGAATGTGGAGGTTCTTGTCCCCCTTACCCTCCCTCGCCATGCCTTCTCCTTCTCCTTCTCCTTCTCTTCGCCCTTCTCCGCGTCCACCACGGCCAGCGCTTGCAGCGCCTGCAGCCCGGGTAGGTGGGGATACGCTCCTTGCTTAGGCTCGGTCCTTGATCTGGGGATCTGGCGAGGCGTAGCGTGTAGGCCACCCTTTTATTCGTGGTTTTGACGGAAACCAAGGCATGCCAATCATTTTGAGGGTTGCCTCTTTGCGAAACAAGCCCAAATGAGGATGAAGCAAATCCTTTGTCGGTGGCATACCATTATCCTATTGTTAGGTCCATACAGCAACTGTTAAATATACATGGTGGCCACATCATCTGTGCGATGTGTTTGTGGCTGCAATCCTCATCTTTTGCAGCCATCTTTCAGGTCATGATGCCATGCGTGGGGACCCTGGTTGAGCGGTGCCAGCGTGGTTTGGGGCTGAGCTGCGAACGGCTGGTTTCGAGAAGACAAACACTGAAACGATCCACTTGGAGGCCATCTGGCAATGTGTTCCCATTCTGCAAAACCCACAATCTGAAACGTTGGTTTCAAAAGCCCACATGAACCAAAACTCTACCTGGAATTGAAGGCAGGCCAACTGCTAGAGTCTCACCATCCCGAAAGACTCTCTTGCAAAGCGGGGAACCCGAAAGAAGATTCCTCTAAAAGGGTAATAAGGCGGTTCCCGAGATAGGCGGCCCGTAGGCGGTTCCGTGGATGTCAATATGTTCACAAAGAGTGGTGGGGAACACGCTATTCGGGTCAGAGCTCAGGGATTTGCTGACACCTGTTTGAGTCTGGGGAATCGCGGAGGTGTTTCTTTGGATGGCTTCCTGATGCTGTGCTTGACATGAGGGGGCATGAGCGTGGTAGGTCAAAGCATAGTTTGCGGCTGTTGTTGGTATGACATGAAGGGGCACCCCAGGGCCTGTGGCTCCACAAGCTACAGTTCACTACAGGCAGCCCGCGCGCAAACGCGTTACGTCGCTGCAGGCCCCAGGTGCAACAGCTTGCAAAGTAAAGTTTACACCGGATTAATAACGCCCCTCCCCCCCAGAAAGTGGAGAAGATTTTTGGAAAAAGACCCTGGCACTAAATCAATCTGGAAGGTCTACTTTAGTATTGGGCAATACTGCTTTCGAATTGGGAATGAGGATCCCAGAAATCCAGATGAATTCCAAAAGGAGCTTCGGTCCTTGTGTCCATCCTTTTGAATTTGATTTGAGTATCCAGTTGATTTAGTATTGTTGGATTTGAGTTTCCGTTTGATTTAGTCTTGCTGGAACTTCCTTTTGATTTGGATTTGAGTGTCCAGTTAATTTAGTAACGCGAGATTTGACTTGCCATTTAATTTAGTTCTGCTGGTGCGGCCCAAATGGCCCAAATTAATAACATGTGTATCCACATTATTAGCATGGCCTGGGCACTCATGTGGGGTACCTCATGTGACCTTCTCAAACCATCACTTGTTGAAAGGGACTTAAGAAAGAAGTTGCACTTTCAGAAAGCCACACATTTTTGGATTTCGGGGATGTCTTGGCAATGCTTTGTTGCAAAGCACATGGAAAGCATATGTCAGCAAAATTTAAGTGCAGCAGCGTAGACAAAATGAGAGCAGTTGTATCACCGTGGATTCTTGGGGATGTGAACTTTTAATTTGGGGTGGGGCTTCCAGATTTGTTGGGCTTCTTGTGAAGTCTGGTTTAATAGCATGTGTGCTGTTGGTGGAAAAACACTTTTTTGGGCGCATTCCAGATTTTTCAAATTGCTTAGTATCGGGAGGGCCTTGTGGGGCCGGTTTCATACCATTATTCCCCAAACAGCGAAGCATTGGGGTTCTAACTTCAGGTATAGAGAATGTGTCTGCCAGTCTCTGCGGTCAGATGCCAGATGCTGTGACGCCGGCTCCGGGGTGGTGTCTCCCGCTTGTCTCCCTGTCTCCCAGTCTCTGCGGTCAAATGCCAGATGCTGTGGGGGGTCTGCCGCTTGTCTCGCTGTGTGTGGCAAGGTCTCTGCTGTGACGCTGGCTGCGGGGTCGTGTCTCGTCTCCCTGTGTCTCCCAAGGTCTCTGCGGTCAGATGCCAGATGCTGTGACGCTGGCTGCGGGGTCGTGTCTCCCGCTTGTCTCCCTGTGTCTCCCAGTCTCTGCGGTCAGATGCTAGATGTCGTGTCTCCCGCTTGTCTCCCTGTGTCTCCCAGTGTCTGCGGTCAGATGTCGTGTCTCCCGCTTGTCTCCCTGTCTCCCAGTCTCTCATTCAAAGGCCAGATGCTGTGACGCTGGTCTCCCTGTGTCTCCCAAGGTCTCTGCGGCGCCAGATGCTGTGACGCTGGCTGCCGGGTCGTGTCTCCCAGTCTCCGCGGAGGGTCCCGGGCTAAACCAACTGAAGCTGCTTCTTCTTTGCGAGTTTTGGGTGGGCTGTTTTCCTGCTTACAGCCCTCAACAGGAAAAATGAAGGTCCCGGGCAAAACCAACTGAACCAGTTTTGAGGCTGAAATGGCTTGCTTGGCATCCAGTAACCGGCATTCGGCTCCCTTCGGCTCCCTTCGGCTCACGTGGCAGCAGCTCGCAAGCGCAATTGAGAAGCATCAAGCTTGAAACATAGATTCGGCAAGTCAGCAGGAACCACTTGCAACATGCTTCGCAACGGGGAAAGGGCATGTCGCAGATTTTGCTGTTAGCCTGTGTGCAAAGGATGTGCCTCTCTCTTGGCCCAGCGCAGGTTTGCATCCTTGTGGAGCATCGTTGGAGCTAGAAGCAAGCAATGTCGAGCCTTATTTTTCTCGATAAACAAACAAATCGTGACATCCGGCTGATTGCTTTGCTCAGGAAACTGAGCTCCTTTTTAGAAGCCAGTGCCGCACTTCTTGGTCAAGCGCAGGTTTGCATCCTTGTGGCGCACCAGCTCGAGCCTTAAATATGTCTATGTTTCTCGATAATAAACAAATATACAGTGACATCCGGCTGATTGCTTTTTGGAAGCCAGTGCCGCACTTCTTGGTCAAGTGCAGGTTTGCATCCTTGTGGTGCATCCGCAGAGCTACGGCGGACACAGAGCTGCTTTTTGGAAGCCAGCGCCGCACTTCTTGGTCAAGTGCAAGTTTGCATCCTTGTGGCGCATGCTGAGCTCGAGCCTTAAATGCTTGGTCAAGTGCAGGTTTGCATCCTTGTGGCGCATCAGCTGAACAAATACCGTGACATCCGGCTGATACTGAGCTGCTTTGTGGAAGCCAGCGCCGCACTTCTTGGTCAAGCGCAGGTTTGCATCCTTGTGGCGCATCAGCAGGGCCCCTGTGTCCATTTTTCTTGATAGCCAAATACACATCCGCCTGATTGCTTTGCTCAGGATTCTGAGCTGCTTTTTGGAAGCCAGTGCCGCACTTCTTGGCCAAGTGCAAGTTTGCATCCTTGTGTGGCGCATCAGCAGAGATCTGTCAAGCCTTAAAATATGTACTTTTGTGCAGCAGAGCTGTCAAGCCTTAAATCTGTATATTGTTCTCGATAAACAAATATACCGTGACATCTGCCTAATTGCTTTGCTCAGGCTTCTGAGCTGCTTTTCGGAAGCCAGCGCCGCACTTCTTAGTCAAGTGCAGGTTTCTGGCGCATCAGCAGAGCCCTGTCGAGCCCTTCAACAAGAAAAGGTGCTCGAACTACAGTGATGCTACCAAGAGCAGACTAGAAGATGGGTGGCCCGAAAGCATGAGCAGCGCGCGGCGCCAAGTAATCCTAGCAAGTTCTCTGCGCAAGTTCCTCTGAGCAAGTTGTTGGCGCGAGTTCCTTTGATCAAGTTCTCCAGGCAAGTTCTTGGAACAAATTATCTGAGCAAGTTCTCTCAGCAACTTGAATCCTGAGCAAGCAATCAGGCGGATGTCACGGTATTTGTGTATCGAAAACAACAGTACATATTTAAGGCTCGGCAGGGCTCTGCTGATGCGCCAGAATGCAAACCTGCACCTGACCAACAAGTGCGGCGCTTCCAAAAAGCAGCTCAGAATCCTGAGCAAAGTATTTGTTTCTCGAGAACGAAATGGACACATTTACTGCGACGCTTTTTCCTCACCTATGCAATCCAGTCCCACTGACAAACGAAACGCATTTTGCTGAAGCATTTCACACCTGGCAAGGTCGCAGCTTTGACATATCTCGTTGCCTCCTGACAGAAGGGTTGAAGACAGATTTCTCAGACTTGTTTCCACATATTCCGCAACATGGGTGCTGCTGTTTTGCACGTGTCTGAAAGTGCCAGGGCTTGCAAGTGCGAGCATACGTGGCTTGTCGGGAAACCAAGCTGGAGGGATGTGCTGATAGCATCAAGACCAACACGTGCTACAGACATGGCCCATCCATTTCTTCTTTGACGACACAGCTTCGCCTCCACCACGCCTTGAACATCGGTTCCGAGCGTGGCGAACTCCCCAGCAACATTACGGAATGGCGGCTCTGGTGCTCAATGTGGTGATTGCAACAAGGAGGCACGGTCATGGCCATGCTTCGACATTTTCGGTGGCTCTATAATCTAATAAGAGTTTCTAACGCCGCCGCCGTGTTTGATGCTTTCTTTTTGGGGCCCCATCAACAAGAGCCGTTTCGCCAATCGCAGAGTGGCTTGGTGGTTTCCTGGTTACTTGCTCTTGGAGATCTGCTGCTATCGCAGAAAACGACGAGCGAACACACAGTCAAGCAGGCGTGCTTATCATCTTGTTGCATTGTAAGGGGGGGGTCCGCTCCAAGGTTTTTTCTGACCGGTTTCCAGAAAGAATTGTCCTGGAAGTATAGCCTGGGTGAGTCTGGTCCCCAACCAAACCATTAGCTCGTAAAAGTTGTGTGCATCGTCCCTGCACTTGTCGAGTTCTCCTCGAAAAACTTGGTTGATGCATAGGAGCTCCTGACAACTTGGAAAGAGTTCACGAACCCGGCCAGTTGATTACAGTGCTGCTGGAGCTGAGTGAACGCAAGGCCCAGAAGTTGTTGCCAGCGCGTGCGTTGGAATGACGGCCGCCGGTCGTTCACCACACATGTGAACACCAATCTGCGAACCGTAAGCACCAACTCCAAGATGAACCCAGCCAAGCTGGTGGTGTCCACTGTGCAGCCAGCATTGGTAAGTTGGGGCAAAGTTCTCACGAGCAGGGCTGGAGCTGACGTTCAAAGCCAAGCTTGTTCCAGAACGGAGCGGTGTTGGGCGCATGGAGCAAAGCCATGCGTTGGCCATCTTGGGAGCACGCGGGGCGCTGGACACGAAAGAGATGAAGGCCCTGATGACCAAGCTACTGCCGGCTCAAACACTGAGGATTTTCTGGAGGTGTGCCGGGTGACAGAGGTGCGTGCCAAGCGGGCACCTTTGCTGACGCTTGGCAATTTGGCGCGTGTGTCTGCGTTGCTAGGCGAGGGTGTCCCGGCCGTAACGCTACAAGGCGCAGTCTGCAAGTTTATGCAAGTGCTCGCTTGCTTTGCTTGTGGCAAGACCTTTAGCCGAGCTCGAGAAGAAGATAGCAACCAGAAGTGGCATGTGTCCAGTCTCGGCCGCAAGCTGCTGAGACTGATGCGCAAGTTTCAGCAGAGTAGCGAGACGGCCACCAAATGCTGCGGTGATGGAGAAGCGCATAATTGAGTGTCCGTGCTACGAAAGGTCGAAACTTCCTTTGATTAATGCAGCTGTTAGCTTGATTCACCCCGAATCCCCGGGGCCTTCACTCTGGAACATGGCATTGACATGGAATTTTCTCCCCGAAGTCGATGAACAATATCGATGCTTTTACCCGGCGTCAAGGAGATGGATGGACCCGATGTGTCCTCTTCCCAAAAAAGGGGACTTCCTGCAGGGACATACATGGACTGATTGTAACATAAGCTACTCAAGTTCGCACCTTACATGAAGGAGACAAGCCCTTTTTGGGGTTATACAGACTTGTCATGCCTTTTTGCTGTTTGGGGTCGAGGCTGGTGTAATTTTCTGAATCCGGCGGTGACATTAGCACAACCATGTCTTGAAAATCTGGAGTGCTCGCCCCAAGAGGTTCTCCAACCGTCCAATTCGCCTGGGGATTCTTGAAGAAGAGCAGGACGAAGAGGAGCACCAAGACCTCGACTCGGCATCATGCTACCTTTTTAGGTGGGGCTTTGATCAATATTCCCATCTGCCCGAAAGTGACTATGGACAACTTTTCCCATGTGGTGAAGTCATTTCCTTGTTTGGTGGTTTCCCTAATGGTCACCCCATGTAAAGGGCCTTTTGATCAACCCCCATGTCACCATGTTGATTTGCGTAATAGAAATGTGCGCGTTGAGGTTTAGCAGTGCGTTATCTTTCGTGGATTGCAACAAGAGTATCTACAACATGAAACAGAGCTCCAAGCCACTCTGGCAGCTATCCAGTTGGATGTTCCTGTGAAAGTTGCTCAAATCGCGACATTCTTTCGCTACCTATGATTGTGGCAGTTGGAAGATATGGCAGGCATCGACCAACAGTTTCCTTTGAATTGGCCAGCTGAAGGCTATTGTTCGATGGATCCCACACAGGCAGGCTATGCTGAAGGGGAAAATCAACAAGACTCTGGAAAAGATCACGAGAAAGTGATAAACCTGGCAGCGATCAAGTCGATTTGTGTTCTACGATATAGGTATGAATGTGAACCGGGGACACCAAAAATAGGAGCTTGAGTCCACCAACCCAACCAATGTCGGTAATTCCGACCGTTAAAAGTCATGGAAGTGGCCCGAGAACGGAGAAACCTAAGCCTGCTGCGCGCAAACACACAACCAAGAGCGTGAGTGCCCAAAAATTCCAGCGCACATGGTGTCTTAGACCCTTCGGTGGGTTGTGCGTCAGATCAATCCCAAGCCGTCCGAACCATGAGCTTGGGGAATTTACAGTTGGCGTTCGAATGTTTCGACGGTGTGAAGTCAAGTGTCCCTTTAGGGGCGACACCAGTGCTTTGGATCGCCCTACTAGGCTCGAAAATGCCACATGTGGATGTCATGCAATGCAAGCTTGGCCAGAGCCGATGTGTGGGTTTCCACACAATTGGGGAGGTCCTGTTGGTTGGTTTCAAAAGGAGGCCAAAATCAGATCAAGCCTCTTCAAGAGCTCCCTACTTTTTGGAAGCACCGAGTGTTGGAGACTTGAAAGTAGGTGCCATTTGGGCTTTATCTTAGGGTCATTGGCGTGTGTCTCAAAATGTTTCCCTGTAAAACTTCCAACGAGTCTCCCTTTTTTGAGACAGATTTGCTTGAGTTCAGAGATTTGCGGTTGGATGTGCCACCCCCAACGCCAGGAGGCCGCAGTGCCAGTTGCGGCGTACCTGTGGGAGTCACGGGCGAGGAAGAAGAGATGCCACGAAATATTGTGGCTTCATGGGAATCCCGACACACATCATCCACCAAGAAGACATCCCCCAGCCCCCGGGCCCCCACCCGCCCGAGTTTATTGGCACTAAGAGGTGATGTGTTAACGATCGCAAAAAGTTGAAGTATAGGGAGCCCTGATGCAAGTGGTACAAACCTTTGAAAGCAAAGTTCGGAACCTTGCAGAAGGTTGTCCAGAGGAGTTCTCCAATTTCATCAATTTCCCTGAGCCCGCAGCCAAACAAGTTGGCATCAAGCAACACAGTGGATAGGTCGCCCCAGGCCTCTGGACAGGGTCGCATGACTGGTTCGTGCAGTTGCATGACGAATGCCTACCTCGTGGTGTTGGCGTCTCGTTCTGGGCCAACGGGACTGAGTGGGCAAAGGGGAAGAACAAACAGCGGCCCGCAAGCGTGCCCCTGAAGCACCAAGCAAGCCAAGCAAGGCGAAGTACAACCAAAATGTAAGCGAGCCAATGCAAAACACCTGGGCAAATACAACACTCACCACTCAAACCCTGGGAAGGCCAACCAAATTCATCTGAGCGCCTCGCTCGTGTTGGCTCCCTGGTACCCCCCCTTTGGCTCGGAGAGAGCGATCAGTCCCTTCGCTGTGAGGCGCCAGGGCCAGAAGAGGCCAAACTGGGAGATGACTCCCGCGATGGGCGCCAGCGCAAAGTTCCCCGCCTGCCTGGAGCTAAAAGCTGGAAGTTTGGGCTTTGAAAGGCACAGGAATCCCACGCCGGATTTCCCCTAAAGGTGACACGTGGAAGTTTGGCCCCCAAGGCAAGCCGAGGGAGACCACACCAACTTAGCTGTTGTGTGTTTTGATCAAAAGACTTGGAGCAACTGCAATTTACTGGTGGGTCCCAATGAAACTGCCACCTCTGCAGGTCAACAAACAAGGAAAGGAGGAAAGCCCAACAAATCTCCCGGAACCCATCATTTTCACAAATCCGACGGAATGCTTCTTTCTCCATACGATAATCGCAAACTTGTGATCCCACTCAAGTGCCGCATCGACGGGCCCCAGCCAGCAAGGTGCTCATGGCTTGCCCTTTTCCCGTTCCCAAAATTGCCAATCTGTCCACCGCCCCCAAACCCAGACTTACCAATTGAAGGTAAGCTGATGTTGGCTCAAACCAATCCGAGTCCAAGCGGCATGGAGGCAAAGAGCATGGTAGATCTCAACTTCAGCAGCTGCATGTTCCTTGCGCACAGGGCACAAAAGAAGCAAATCCGCGCATCCGGCTTTGGCAGCAGGCCGCGGGCCTCTGTCTTCTCTTCAACTCAAGCTCTCTGCGGCCAACGCACACGTGAGACTCAGACTGGTGGTGCTGGTCCGTGCAAAGCATTTCCGGATGAATGATATTGTAACTGTCAACCTTTTTGTACATTGTGATTCGTGATGAACAGCGCATTTCCAAGGAGGGCAGGTCTTTGTTAAAGCCCAAACTGAGGGGTAGCTGAAAAGGGAGGATGAAAACAAGGAGAGGGTGAAAAAACACTGCGGGGTTTAAACCGGGGAGACCGCCACCCCACCCGGTCGAATCCCACGCAGTTGGGCGGCGGCAGAGATATCTTGGCAATGTAGCCCCGCAGCACGGGCTGCGTGCCTAACAGGAAACCGACGCTTCTAGCGTTTGTTGTTTTGCGGGGAGCCACGTTTGAGGCTGGGTTTACTGGCAAACCAGCGGGAAACCCAAAGGGACACCAAGAGAAATCAAAGGGAAACCAAAAGGAAACCAAAGGGAAACTGACAAAACTAGGGACCACTCGAAATAGTAGGTGCCACAGGCATCATTGACTTCTCCCTTGACAAGGTTGCAATCTACTTGCGGAAACACCACGCGTGAAGGTCCGTTTGTCAGGGACCTTGAGGGA